CAATTCTGAGGTGGAACGCTTGAGATCTGAGATCAAGATAGGCGAAGGTAAACTTGCAGAATATGAACAAAAGTTCAGGGATTTGTCCGCTTATCCAGGGAGAGTAGAAGCCCTACAGTCTGAGAGTTTATTCTTGCGGAATTGTTTGAAAGAAACTGAGAACAATTTGCAGGAGAAAGGAAATACTTTGAGCTTAATCATAAATATTCTAGGAAACATTGATGTTGCAGATGATGCTAATTCTGGTGATCCAGTTTTGAAGTTAGAACAAATTGGGAAAATGTGCTGTGATTTGCATGCGAATATGGCTTCTTCAGAACAAGAAGCTAGGAAATCCAAAAGAGCAGCAGAGCTACTCCTTGCAGAACTGAATGAGGTTCAAGAGAGGAATGATGGTCTCCAGGAAGAGCTAGCAAAATCTGCGAGTGAACTTGCTATACTCTCCAAGGAAAGGGATCTTGCAGAGGCTGCCAAACTCGAAGCTCTTTCACATCTTGAAATGGTTTCTACTGCTCACTCTGAGGAAAGAAAACACCAATTTTCTGAATTTTCAGGACTAAAGTCTGGTGTAGATCAACTCAGGAAGGGGTTTCATGATGTCACTAGTTTATTGGCTGGTGTTTTTCACCAGGACTTGGTATTTTTGCAAAACCTGGAGTCTGGTATTGGTTCCTGCCTCAAATCAAGCAGTGCTGCTGATGTGGTTGATGTGCCCCTTTTCACTACAAGCAATGGATTCATCACGAGTAAATCAGACAAGGTGCTTTTTTTTTATGTGCACGCTTGATTATTTGTTCCAGTATGATATGCTCGTATTTCAATATTCTTATCATTCTATATGGCTTGTCAAAGGCCGTTTTCTACCAATTATAAGTCCTTTATTTTGTATGCCTTTGTTTCAACTCTGTCGTACCTTCCCTGTGCCCGAAAATTCAAGTAAACTTCATTTAAAGTCAAACGAGTGCAATGGTTTTGTTTGAAAAATGTATACTTTGTTGACTGCAGTGAGCTGGTTAGAAATAGAAATGAAGCCCCTTAAGTTAGAAATGATTATTGAAGAATTGATTTCATGTATATGTATTTCTCTCTGGTCTATTTATTTTATAGGTCTGCTTTATTTATAAATTCCACTTATTGGTTAGAAAACGATGTGACAGATGGCATGGCATTAGCTTCGCTAAAAGTAATTGGGACTCATGTTACAGTATGTGGGATTAAGAATGAAGAAATAAATACAGTCACGCCACTTTGGATCCAAAATTTGAATTATAGTAATAATCTTATCATTACCTTTACTGTTATTATCATCATCACTGAGGACTATTATTCTTGTATCATAATTGTTTATAATTTTACTGTTATATTTTGTATGGCAATTATAGTCTTTAAATTTGATGTGAAGCACTCTTCACTCTTATTATTTTAATTTAGTATCATTTCGTTCATTATTTTCTCATCTTTTAATTTTGGCTTCCCTGTTCAGGAGAACTTTATTTCGACGAATTCTTGGTCAGACTCCAACATGCATGGCCAATTTGATGACAATTTTATAATTGAAATCTTTACTCATGCAAGGCATTATCTGCAAGAACTGGAGATGGAGATTGGTTTGCTTAAAGAAAAATTAGATGAACACTCAATTTCATTACATGAAAAGGCTAGCAGTATATCTAAATCAATGGCAATTGTTCGTGGAGAATTAACTTCCAAAAATGAGTCATTTGAATCCTTGAAGAGAGACTTGTTGCATATGGAAATGGTTGAAAAGGAAAAGGATAATGAGCTTCTTCTTTTGCGCAGAAATATTGCCTTGCTTTTTGAAGCATGCACTAAATCAGTTATGGAAATGGGTAGAAGAAAAGCTGAATTGGTTGGAAATGGTTGGTCTGCTGGAGAACAAGGGATGAGATTGAAGCTAGCAGAACTTTCTGAGGATGGACTTTCATTTAGTGGAGAAGATCAGTTTCGCTCTGAGGAACGTGTCAGGAGTATGACAGACATGCTATTGTCAACTGTGAGTGATTTTGGTTCTCTGACAACTGAAATTGTGGAAGGTGGCCAAAAGGAGTTGAAGATTACCATTTCAAAGTTGCAGAAAGAGCTTCAGGAGAAGGACGTTCAAAGGGAAAGGATTTGCATGGAGCTTGTAAGTCAAATCAAGCATGCTGAAGCAGCTGCAACGAGTTATTCGATGGAGCTTCAATCTTCAAAATCTTTGGTGCATGATTTGGAGAAACGGGTGGAAGTGATGAATGGCGAACATAACTTATTGGAGCAGAGAGTGAATGAGTTAGAAGATGGCTGTGCTACTTCTACCGAGTTACAAGAGAGGGTCAGATCACTGACTGATGTGATTGCTGCTAAAGATCAAGGTCAGTTATTGAATCTACTATTACTTCAGTTACTGCTGTTGAATTTCACACATTTTCAAATAATTTTTTTTTTCTTTAAGTGAAATTTAAAACGGTTATTTTGGCACCAATTATCAAAATTGCTTGTGATTGCAGAGATTGAGGACCTAATGCAAGCACTTGATGATGAGGAGGTGCAGATGCAAGGTCACACTTCCAGGATTAAGGAACTGGAAAAGGTTGTGGAACAAAAGAATCTAGATTTGGAGAACCTTGAAACTTCCCGCGGGAAGGTTATGAAAAAGCTTTCCATCACTGTCAGTAAGTTTGATGAGCTACATCATCTATCTGCAAGCCTCCTTGCTGAGGTGGAAAAGCTCCAATCACAGTTGCAAGAACGGGATGATGAGATATCCTTCTTAAGGCAAGAGGTCACTAGGTGCACGAATGATGTTCTTGCTGCATCACAAACCAGCAACAAGAGAAATTCGGAAGAGATCCATGAGTTACTAACATGGCTTGATATGAATATTGCTCGGGTCGGGATGCACAATGGGGATCAGAACAATGATCAAGTTTCTGACCACAAGGAAATATTAAAGAAAAAGATTGATTTTGTAATTCAAGAATTGGGGGATCTACGAGCTGTGGCTCAGAGTAAGGATACACTGTTGCAAGTAGAAAGGAGTAAGGTAGAAGAATTAACGCGCAAAGGAGAAACTCTTGAGAAGTCTTTACATGAGAAGGAATCACGGCTAAATTTGCTTGACGGTGTGGGAGATTCTGGCCGGGGAACTAGCAGCACCTCTGAAATTGTTGAGGTTGAGCCTGCGGTGAGATTGTTATATGTTATTTATTTACAAACTCACATTTTAGAGGCCTCTTTCAGAGTATTGTAATGTCACTAATGACTTTATTTTGTGGATTTTTAATAGAAAAACAACTGGGCAGTAGCTGGGACCTCCGTTGCACCTCAAGTCCGCAGTTTGCGCAAAGGCAATAATGACCAAGTTGCGATTGCCATAGATATGGATTCTGGGAGCAGTGGTAGGTTGGAAGATGAAGAGGATGATAAAGGTAATCCTATGCTGATATAATTGCTGCCATCTTTTACTGGTCTTTCCCGTTCAATACCAAGTCAGATAAGTCACTGAAGGCATTTCTTACTGGTTTAACATTTGTTTGTTTCTTCGGCTGTAGTTCATGGTTTCAAGTCACTCACGACTTCAAGAATTGTTCCAAGATTTACTAGACCCGTGAGTGACATGGTCGATGGCCTTTGGTAAGCATGTCCAGTCCTTATTTTCTTTTCTTGGTAATATTTCAATTGGAAACTTACCTAGATTTTGTGATAACTAAATCATCTTGTACACAACCATACAGGATGTCTTGTGATCGGGCTCTAATGCGGAAACCTGTTTTACGGCTTGGCATTATATTATATTGGGCTGTACTGCATGCGCTTCTTGCTACTTTTGCAATCTGAAAAGCCAGAAGTGGTTAGAGATTCTCGTCAGGTGGTGTTGCATATCGGTTTTACTGCTTTTATGGATGTTCTTCGTTAGTTGCTCTTTTTTTGTTCCGATGTTGGCACTCCTCTTTTCTCCCCTTGCACTCCTCCCTTTTTCTAGTCTTTGGATTGAATACACTAAAAAGAGAATCACGAGACATAAGTAAGGAATAGAGTGTAGAAAGAGAAAACGGGAGCGTGAAAGTCACTGCTCTTTTTCTTTTTATATGTCTTTCGGTTGGGGAAATTCTGGTTTGAATATATTTATGAAGCTCAAAACTTATGCGAGACATTTGACTTGTGTTGCATTGCAGGTTCACATTTTGAAGGGCTTGGGAGTCCCGTGTCCCGACGATGTTTATGCTTTATTGGGTATTAAAGTTGGAAGCTTAAATCTACTATTTTTTTGTTCTTCCTAGATGCTGTTAGATCGATTTGTTATTTTCCACCACAACCGAGCGACGCAGATTGGCAGTTTTAACGTCAATGAATCCCAGAAGCTTGGTTGCATCTAATAAGAAAAGAAAGTTTGATGATAGGGAAACAAGCATAGTTCATTTGTTTACTCAACACCCAACCAAAGGTTGTACATCCTAGCTGCTGTTAGTACTTCCCTATATAAACTAGAGAGAGTTTAGCTGTGTAACCAAAAGCTCCAACCTAGTACTTTCTTTGTGATGACGATGTCATCGTGTAATGTAAATTTTCAGGCGTGTATTACTGCTTTTATCTTTAATTTTCTAGAATTTTGACTATTTCATAGTTCGAGAAGAGAAAATCGGAGTATTGGCTTCAGGACTTTTGACCCAATTGGAGTTTTGTCGTGGAACTAAAAATTTGCGAGTATATTTACATGAATTTTTTATAATGTGGAACAATGATTCTTAGAGGTCAAAACCAGAATGACCGTTGTTCTATTATGTGAAATGTTTGAAGGACCAATGCTCACGAGTTTTTGGTTTAGAGACCAAACCTCTCATCGGGTCAAGTTCAAACAAATGCTCTCTTTCGAAAATTAGGGTTTTTTGGGTCGGTTTTAATCATACCTATGTACCATGGTGCAACTCGGAATCTCACCAATTTTCCTTTCTTTTAACAACCCAACTGTTAAACCCGTTAACACCATCACTACTCAAACAAAAAGAAAATCAGTTTTTAACTTTTTATAAAACACAGGAATATAAATATTCGCTCTAGTCAAACAAAAAGTAGTTTTTTACTTTTTACAAAGCACAGGAATATTTCTGTTGAACACAAAAAAACACAAACAGCTGTTGCATGAGCAACCATAACGGATCACGACAAGAAATGAAGGGTAACAGATGCACATGCAGAGGATTGTTACATAGATTTACAGAAAGTGTTTGGCATTGCCTTTGGGATTCTCTTGAAACCTTGCTATCCTGAAGTGCTTTAGCTCCACTCCTTGGGCCTCCCCAGTAAGCGCAAGGTCAGCCAAAATCCTCCCCACCACCGGCGACATCTTGAACCCGTGACCCGAAAACCCCCCGCCCACCACCACATCCTTCCCAAACTCCCCACCCAAGAAATCAATCACAAAATCCTCATCCGGGGTCATTGAGTACATGCACAACTGCGTAGCCACCGGCCCACCGGAGTCAACTACGCCGGAGAACCTCCCCTCTATCCACTCCTTCAACGGAGCCAGCGGGTTCCCGGGACCCCAAGGCCTGTTATCAGGGTCACACGGGTACCCGCCATGCACGGCGACCTTGATCAAACCGGGATACTCCAAAGAAGGTGTCCCATAAATGTAAGGGTTTCCGTAGCTAGCAAACGTTGGGAAGTCACCTCCAATGGCAAAACCACCCTCGTGCCCCTCCTTAATCCGCCAGTAACACACGGTGGTTTCCAGCGGCTGTATCGGCAGTTCGACCCCACCAACCGTTTTAACTAACTTTGTCGTCCACGCGCCAACTGTCACCACACACTTCTTCCCCCAAAACCTCTCCCCATTTGCTGTGCACACCCAAACCCCTCCTCTCACCCTATCTCTCTCCACACCCTTCACCTCCATGTTATCCCTCAAAACGGCGCCGTTCTGCAAAGCGAGCGTTTGAAACATGGACACCGCCTTGGTGGGTTTAATAACCCCACCGTGCTCTGTCACCACACCCACCCAATCCTCCGGAATCATAACCCGACCCGAAAACTCCTGATCCAGCTGGTCCCTGTTCATGACCCTAAACGCGACAAAATTTTTCCGACAGCTCTCCACGACGGCGTGGAGAACCTTGTCGTTCGCCGGAGCCATATCCAGTTGGTGGGCTTTGAAGTAGACATTGTAGCCGATCTCGGATTCCGCTTGCTGCCAGAGCTTGTAAGACTCCATGACCAGCGGGGAGTAGTAGTCCTCCGGGTAAGTGGCGCGAATCGTGCGGGACTCGCCGTGGGAGGAGCCGCGGTGGTGGAGGAAGTCGAATTGCTCGAGGAGGAGGGTCTTTTGGCTGCGTTTAGATGTCTGGTAGGCGGTGGAGCTCCCCATGATGCCAGCTCCGACTACGATGATGTCGTACTCGTCGCCGGAATATTCCATTTCTGGGAAATTGTCAGGCGGTTTTGGGGAAGGAGGAAGAGGACAAAGGCGATTGTGGGATTTGGTTGGCTAGTTGCTTTGGATCTCTGACTTGTGAGAGTGAGTGAGTGCGAGCTCGTTTTTAACGTGAGGATTATGTGAAACCCGCCAAATATTTGCCCTGAATTTCGAGATTGCCACTGATTAATTTTGGTGAGAGAGTAAATTATACTTTGTGCTGTAAATTATAAACATTTACTTGGAATTTAACCAACAAAAAATAGAAACCAACAATTTTGTACGTGCAGTTAAGCATACATATGTGGTTGGAGAATATGATCTCTTATCAGTCGTATAACAAAATAATATATAATTAATAAATGATAATTTTCATTCTTAATATTACCCAAGTCTTTTATGATAATATCCAACACCTAATAATAGGTGCTTAAGTTTTGACAATATCGATGATGTTGAGGGTAGACCATGTTAGGACTATAAAGTTTATCATGGTATGAGAGCATACTATTCTTTTTGCACGTCCATGTATGGAATTTGCCTCCTTAAGTTGGGCTTTCTAAAAATTGTGCTAGCTCCAGCTTTAGGATATCGAATAATTGGGCTCTTGAAAAATTGCTTTGTCTCTAGTCCCTGATTGATGATCGGACTCTCGAAAAGTTGTATTAGCTCGGGTATATAATGACTTGACCAATTCCCGATGTGGGAATTTGTTTCCCTTGTAACCCCATGTGGGGCCACTCGTGAGGGGTATGTTGGAGAATATGATCCCACATCGGTCATATGACAAAATAATATGCAACTAACATATGAGAATTCCCACCCTTAATATCACCGAGACATTTGGTGATAAAACCCAACATCTAGAATAGGTGGTTAAGGTGGGACAGTATCGGTGATGTTGGTGGTTGACCATATTGGGCCTATAAAGTTTATCATGTGTGAAATTTTCATAATTGATTTGTTTTTATTCAAATCAAAATCTAATTTAACCAAAATTGAGAAAAATTTGAACTTTAGTGGAGAAGGAAGAGCACATTGCTCGAGCCAACGTGGCTTCTCCTATGTCTGAAACTTATCTTGTGATGATGATGAAAAGTGAATGTGTTCATTATAGATTGGTTATATGCTCTTTCTATGGAGCTTTTTGGTACATCATCTCTCCACACACACTTTGCATATTTGCATAAGAAAACGTTATGTAGCCATTTGTTGGAAGAATAGTGTCATCAAGGTTCTAAATGTTTAACTTAATATTTCTTCTAATGAAAAATGGAAATCTTAATTTGATGATAATTGATGTGAGTTTTTATGACTTGTGAGGCACGTAACCTAGAAGCATCAAAGAATTGGACAATGATCATGCGAATTGTGCCACTTTTAACGTATTGAATATAAAACGTCATGCTTTAAGACTTACAAAAATTTATGAGGCTAAGCTCACCATCTTCCTCTTAGTGTATATAATATCATTTGTTCATGAAAATAAAAAAAATTACAAAAATTTATAAAGAAAAAAAAAAGGTTCCTATCTCACGCTTAATTAATATCAAATTTCTCTTGACCTAGTTGTGGAATTTTTTATTCAAGTGATATTTAGGAATAGAGAATTGAACCTAGAACCTCGAGTGCACGGATAAATGATTTTAACTATTTGAGTTACAAACTTCTCACACTAGATGGAAATTTTATCTCAGAAAACCTCGTGACATCATAAGGAGAGTCACAAATTTGATGTGCATGGAAGGAAGGTCACTTCTCCCATGTAGAAAACCGTATTTAATCAGCAATTCCTAACACAAAACTTTGAATTTGTTTGAGATATTAGAAAAGTGTTTACATTTGGGTTTGAACTATTTTATAAAGAAATTGGTAGTTAGTCTCTCTATTGTTTATACCTTAGATAAAAAGAAGTAGAGAAAATCACTTATGTACCAAACTCTTGAGTCCTAGTTCACTTAAAGGAGAAAATTTAGGGGGGTGTAGTCAAATAAGGATTTAGATGGATTTTAAAAGACTTTAGAATCCAAGTGTAGTCAACTATGATTTTAAAAGAATTTAAGAGAGTTCATTCAAATACAGGGGTAGTCAACTAAAGGATTATAAAGGATCTTAGAATCCTAGTGTAGTCAACTAGGATTTTAAAGGATTTTTATTGAGTCTATACAAATCTATATGTATTAAATTTTTTATGGATTTTGAAGGATTTCATTGAATGAGTGATTTTGTAGGATTTGAGAAGAGATGATAAGCTTAAAAAGACTGTAAAGAATCCTACCTTCACCCCTAAGATTTCTTTCTAACCCCCTTCGATTTCTCTCTCCCTTTCTGTCCACTCTGCAACCGAGTTTTCTTTCTTTCTCTCTTCCCATTTCATTGAAAATATTTATTCTTGTTAGATTGCTTTTTGGAGGTGTATAACACGCAAAGGCAAATCAAGCTAATTATCCACTGCATCCCTCCCTGACGAGGTACTATGCCCATTCATTACTAATACTGAGATTGTTTTCCTACTTACATAGGAGTGAACCTATTTACAGGGTTGGGAGAATTGGGCATCGGGAAAACGTGGAGGATTGGAAGAACTGGGTAAAGTTCTTAATTTTTTTTTGGGTAAAAGACTGTTTATTACCCTCATGTTTCATGGTTTTCAACATTCAGTACATCAATTTTTTTTCGTCTCAGAGTCATACCTAAAGTGTAAATTTTGGGACAGTTTCATACATTCGTTAGTCAAACTGTTAATTCTCTCGTTAAGTGATGACGTGGCGCCCATGTGGACAATGACTGGGCGCCACGTGTCATTAAAAATATTAAATTATTATTATTATTAAAAAAAAAAAAACCCTATCTTCTTCCCCACCCCGACCCCCCTCCCTTCTCTCTCCCTTCTCTTCTCTGCACCTACGCAACCCCCAACCTCTGCACCTTCCCCCACCCCCTATATTCCCCCACTGCACATCCAAATCAAGTAAATTAACCCGTCTTCCACCTCCCTTCCTTCTTCCCTCTGCAACATTCTCTTCGGCTCCCCCTTTTCTCTCCCCCATTTTTATCCTCGCTTCTCCACAACCACCACCTCCTCCACCATTCCTTTCCTCACTGCACCCCCTCTTCCTCCTCATTATCCTACACCCCAACCCAACCCCACCCCTTGTCCCTCTTCCCCGATCCCCCTCATTCCTCCCTCTTCACCTCTCTCTCCCAAGCACCCTCCCTCTTCACCTCTCTCTCCCAAGCACAGTCGATTGGAGGGTCCATCATCGAGTTTGGATCCGAGCTTCTCCATGTCTAGTAGGTGCCGAAGATTTCGTCCTCAGAGCCGCCCAGCTCCTTGAAGCTGCAGGACGGGCTTCGAACGGGTCCTAGAGCAGATCCAGGTCGTCGGGATCAGAAAATGGATCTCGGATTGGGTTCGACGGTGGTAGGAGGCGCTCGGAGTTGCGTCTGGCAACGGCTGCGCCATGTGTCTTGAGAGCTGGAGCTCAGATCCGGTTTCGGGTTGGCTGGATCTTGCATTTTGTTAAGTCCATTTTCGGGGTGGGGGAAGGTGCAGAGGTTGGGGGTTGGAGAGAGAAGGGAGGGGGGTCGGGGTGGGGAAGGACATGTTTTTTTATTTTATATATATATATATTTTTTATAATAATAATAATAATAATATTTTAATATTTTTAATGACACGTGGCGCCCAGTCATTGTTCACATGGGCACCACATCATCACTTAACGGAAGAATTAACAGTTTGACTAACGGATGTATGAAATTGTCCCAAAATTTACACTTTAGGTATGACTTTGGGACGAAAAAAAATTGATGTACTAAATGTTGAAAACCATGAAACATGAGGGTAGTAAACAGTCTTTTGCCCATTTTTTTTTCAAGTTTTTTTTTTTATATTTTTAATCTTTATTTTCTATTTAAAAAATAATTCTTTAAATGACAATAAATCTCTCGAAATTCATTCAAATCTTTAATCAAAATCCATAAGAATCCTTGAAAATCCATTTGAAAGTTGTAAAGATTCTACAATTCTTTGAAATCTATCACTCAAAAATGTTTTTTAAAATCCCGTGAAATCCAAATTGACTACACAATGATATTTAATACAGAAAATCGTTATTAACACTCTTCAATTTCTATATTACGTTTTCCGAGTGCATAATGACATCCTTGATATAATATAAAAAGTAGATATGCTCACTTAAAACTATCCCAATGAAGATTGAATTTGGTAAAATGATGTCATTTTTTATAGGGAACTTTAACGAAAAGCACCCAGTACTATTCATTTTAACGAAAAACCACATTTTTACACTAAAAAGTCAATCCTGGTACTATTCACTTTACCCTTTATTTTGTCCTTATCATTAAAACTCAAAGTTTTCAAGTCTTTTTCATTAGTTTCCCTTTTTTTATATCATGGGCGGAGACTTGTGCTTGAAAAGTGAGTTAAGCCATTCGGAACCTCTAAACAAGTCAGCTTTGTCACTTTATTATTGTATGGTTGGTAATTCGTCTGGGTGATGGAATATTTTGTTGTCATCTCTTCTGTCACAATCCATTATCTCATGCTACGATTCTTTCTTTTCTCTAATGGCGGGCTTCACAGAGTGCTGTAGAAAGCTAATGTTCATGATAAAATATATGTAAAATACATGCCACTTGTACATATTGAAGGACAATGGAAAGCCAACTTCTTGTTGATTTGAAAGTTGATGTCATTTTTCATTACTTCATAATTTTATATAGACAATTGACGCAAAGATGATTGATGAACTTTTGTTCCTTTTGTTTTTGGAATAATTAGACTCTTCGAATAATTGGAAGAAATATTTGTAATATATACATATGGAATGTCATGTGTCAAACACTCATAAAATTCGATAATTTATTATTGTAGGATTTGAGAATGAAACGCACGTAATGGTCATTACAATGGTTTTGTTCTGATCCTAGAAAACAAAGAGAATAATGTGTAAAAGCAACCAACGTATTACATGTGACATTCATAATATTACAAAATTTGATAGTATTTTTATAACGGGTAAATTTTTTATCCTATGTTTGATACAAGAAAGATTTATATGAAAGGAGTATATATGCGTGTGATGGATTAATTTTTTTTCTTTTCTTACAAGAGTCTAACATGCTGCTTTGAAATTAAATTAGTAGTTAAACTCACAGCCTAAAAGCAGAAGTATGAAAAGTAAAAAGAAAGGAGCGGACTACCATATTTTGAACCCTAGCCCCAAAAGAACCAAACTCGTATCAAATTGGCATGTTCCTCAGTGAATGTGATTAAAATGTATATTAATTAACAAAACAAGAGTAATAATTCTAACCAAGTACATAAGTACTTCGAGAAAGGAGTTTGTTTGCTCTACACTCCAAAGTAACAAGTTTATGGCTTCTCATATTTAAAAGCACTCAAATGCATGAAATTCAAAAAAGCCAGAGAGAAAGCTCCAGAGGACTGATGGTTAGGCGGCAGCCCCACCTGTTCTCTCCTCCACCTTTCTCCTCGTCTCTCTCTTTCTCTCGTGTCCCCCTCCCTTTTGGTCCACCTCTCCAAAGATGGTGGCCTGCCCCCATCTCTCCAAAGATGGTGGTTTTCCACAATCATCAACTGTCGGTGTTTGTGGTCCTGAGCAACGTTTCAATTTGGGAACTTGATTCCTCTTCTTTTGGTTATCATCCAAACTCTCTCTATTTCTTGCTATTGCGTACCAAATTACCATGAGCCGCAAATGATCCACTCCCTAACCCATACTACAAATCCAGCCCTAAAGACTTTTTTTTTCCTTATCTCACCCTTAATTAATAGAGGAAATTAGGACGCCTCCCTCCTCCACCAATAATTTATAAGTGGTTTTCCCTTCTAATATTATATGTGCTGTACTCAAATCACATCAGGGCATACCTAAACGTGCAGTTTTCATTAATTTGCTTGGTAGGATTTTTTTTGGACAAAGAGAATAAGTGTATTCGCCCATAATAAAATGTAGTCAAATCACATGAGGGCATAACTAAGATAGATATTATATCTTGAGTAGCTAGTTTGAGAGAGGAGGGAAATGGTAACAGTTTGAATTGAAATGGACAAACAATTGTTCTATAAGAAAATAGACAGCGAGTTAAATTGAACTCCTTTCTTCATAAACTTGAAAGATTCAATAGTTTATGGCTCTCGCATATGAAAAAAATCGATCGAGTAAATGAAAGAAAAATATGAAGATGAAAAAAAATATATGAGAAATCTACCTCGTTTCGAACACAACCAAATGCTGTTCAAGTCTTCTTGTTGGGCTCAAAGACATATTTTTATGACTGAATCTTTGATCGAAAGCAATTCGGGGAACTCTTTTGAAGCATCCAATTCATTATTGCTCCTTGGCGCTATAATCACCTTGGCCTGTTCTTCTATGTGTGAAAATTTTTCCACTTGAACTTTGGATCAATGTCATCCCTGAACATCTCTAGGGTCTCATTGTGGCTTATGACTCCTGGGTTGGTGAAGTTCCATATTCCTCCGCAGTTCCTCCGAGCCATCTCAATGGAGATCGGTACGAGCTCATCGAGCACTGTCATGCTGTTGGGAATGTTCACAACCTTATCGTAGCGTGCTGTCTTCGTGACGGAGTTTCTAGGGTTGCTGAGGTTTGATGATATTGGAATTCTCACTCTGAGGGTGCACACATTGTCATATTCCCTCAATAATTCTCTTGCGAAGTATCTCCTTTCTTTCCGACAAAGATCAGTCTCGGCAAATACTATGAAATCGGAAGCTGAAATGACGTTGGGGTTGTGTTGGCGTCTAGACGACGGCGGGAGAGAGAGAGTGGAGGTGAAGAGTGCGAGTGCCGTGTAGTCAAATTAAGATTTGATAGGATTTTAATCGACTTTGAAATGCTGACATAGTCAATTAGGATTTCAAAAAGAATTTTAAAAGTTTTTCATCAACCAATTACGATGGTTAGATGAATCGGTTTAAATTAAGACCATCTCTAAAAAAAATGTCAAATTATAAAAGTCAAATTACAATTGATGATTGATGTGACAATCTGAAGCCTTATGTTAAATTTTGTAATTCTTTAACCGAATTGTCAAATGTTCTTTTATTATTTAAATAGAGCTTTAAATGATTGTAATTATTAAAAAAAATATTGAAATAAAAATTTTATTGGTTGAAATGTTAGTGGAAGAAGGGACCTACTATTAAAATGAATTAAAAATAAATTTGACATTGATGTCAAATTTAACATCATCACTAAGCCTTCAAATTCAGTCAGCAAATAACATTTTGGTTGGAGAAACTTTTAATGTCAAATATGCACATTAGTATTATACCTAGAATTTTGACATCTCATTTAGAGATGCTCTAAAAGCACACTTAATTGTCTGCAACTTTCCAAATTCTTAGTACTGGCTTAATCCAAATTCTTCGAAGTTCTAGCTTAATTAAGTTTATGGGCGATTACCATCTTTGAAACCACGTGCTGCAAACTTAATTAATTAATGGTTTCTTCATTAACTTCTCCTCAATGAATGATTACAATGGTTAGTAGATATACACTGGCCAAAACATCGTTGTTGGTCCCAACATGACTCACCCAGGGCTCTACTCTTTCTTATTAAGTCTTTTTTTTTTAATTATTCTAAAATAGTAGGAAAGGTGTTAGAAAAATTCATGTAATAAACTGATTTGCACAATGTAATACATTGATTCTGCACAATGTAATACACTGATTACATTAATAGTTTTGAAACCCCCTCCCCTTAATAATAATAAAAATTTTAAAAATAGAAAATAGACAGCAAATTAAATTGAACTCCTGTCTTTGTTAACTTGAAAGACTTAATAGTTTATGGTAGTTTCGAAGCCCCTTCCCCTTAATAATAATAAAATTTTAAAATAAAAAATAGACAGCAAATTAAATTGAACTCTTGCCTATGCAAATTAAATCGTTTATGAAAAATTCTATCAAGTAAATGAAAGAAAAATATGAAGACGAAAAAGTAAATATAAGAAATCTACACACCTCGTCTCTAACACAACCAAATGCTGTTCAAGTCTTCTTGATGGGCTCAAAGACATATTTTATGATTGAATCTTTGATCGAAAGCAATTCGGGGAACTCTTTCTTCAGCTTTGAAGCATCCAATTCGTTGTTGCTCCTTGGCGTGACAATCACCTTGGCCTGTTCTTCTAGGTCAAAATTTTGCCACTTGAACTTTGGATCAATGTAATCCCTGTACATCTCTAGGATCTCGTTGTGGCTTATGACTCCTGGGTTGGTGAAGTTCCATATTCCTCTGCAGTTCCTCCGAGCCATCTCAATGGAGATCGGTAGGAGCTCATCTAGGACTGTCATGCTGTTGGGAATGTTCACAACCTTGTCGTTGCGCGCTATCTTTGTGATGAAGTTTCTAGGGTTGCTGAGGTCTGATGATATTGGCATTCTCACTCTGAGGGTGCACACCTTGTCATATTCCTTCAACAGCTCCTCCACCTGCAAATAATTTGACATTTAAAGACTAATTTCAGTATTAAATTTCTTGCACCACAAGGCTCCACAACCAGTAAAAGTGCACATGATTTTAAAAAATGAATTGAACATTTGGTAATGTAGCATATATGCCATGACTTTTTGAATTAAAATCAACGAACAAAGTTTGAAATTGTGTTACCATGGCTTTGGTCTTCGAATAGAAGGAACCGGTGAAATTAGGGTTGTCCTCCTCCTTGAATCCAATACCAGATCCTAGGGGATGCTCCTTGTCATACTCAAAAATGCATCCGGTCGCAAAATTCATCATCAACAGACCTTGATCCTTGCAAACATCAGCCAAATTAAGCGTGCCAGCTACATTAGTCCGAATTGTTTGCGCCTTGTGAGATTCACACCAATCAACGTTTGGCCGCCCAGTAACTCCAGCAGCATTGAACACATGGGTTGGTTGTACTCTTGTGATGTCCTCCAGCAGAGACTTCCTATCCTCAAGTCGTCCTTTCCCATACTCAAACTCAATTCCTTCACCCTTACAAAGCTTCCCCAACAACCCTCCAATCCATCCAGTCCTTCCATATATCAAAAACTTCAATTCAGAACTATTGCTACCCTCATTGCATGTTCTCGACAGCCTTGTGAACCCATATTCGAAGAACCAAGAATCATCATTCGGTCGGCTAATCACTGCGAAACTTGGGTGTGGGTGAAGTGCAGCAGACACATCACCCCACCAATCCGCGTGCTTCGTGTACCATTCTGTCGTCAGCTTCAGCCCTTCCTCCCAACTAGTCCTCACATCCCACCCTAGCCTTTTCAATTTTTGATCATCCAAAAAGTACCTTTGGTCATTGAAAGGCCTATCTTGCACAAAAGTTATAGCTTCCTTTGAATTCAAACCAATCATTTTGCAAATATCTTCTGCCACGTTCAAAACTGACCTCTCTTTTTTGGTGCCAATGTTGTAAACATGCCCTATCACTCCCTTGTGAAGTATCACATCAAATGCCTCAGCCACGTCATCACAATACAAATAGCTTCTCACATTTGATCCATTCCCATGGATTGGTAATTTCTCACCTTTCATTGCAAGAAGGCTAAATTTTGGGATAAGCTTTTCTGGATACTGGTGGGGTCCGTACACATTGTTGCTTCTAGTTGTTATTGTTGGCAAACCGTAGGATCTGTGGTATGCCATGACCAACATTTCAGCCCCAGCTTTTGTGGCTGAGTAAGGGTTTGTAGGGAGGAGCTGAGAGGCCTCAGGGTTTCCAATATTGGTCTCCATATCCGTCTCTCCATAAACTTCATCAGTACTCACATGAATGAAGCGCTTCACTCGCTGCGTGACCTTGCATGCTTCGAGGAGGACGTGAGTGCCGTAGACATTGTTGTTGGTGAACTCGAACGAGTTTCCGAACGAATTGTCCACGTGGGTTTGTGCGGCGAAGTGCATTATGGTGTCGATCTCATCGGCAATCAGGAGATGGTTTATGAGATCAGCACAGGCAATGTCTCCCTTGACAAACTTGAAATTCGGGGAGGAACGACAAGGCCTAAGGTTCTTGAAGCTAGAGCAGTAGTCTATCTTGTCAAGAGCAACGATTTTGTAGCTGGGATAGTTTTTTATTAGGCGATTGGTCACGTGGCTGCCTATGAATCCTGCTGCTCCTGTTATGAGGATGCTCTTTGGTGCATATGGTGTACCTTCAGATTCCATGTTTATAGCCCTCTCGGTTGGTTATTCCTCTGCAACCACTGAACCGAATATTCAAAAACACAATGAAAAAAAACATTAGATCATAAGACCATTAGTACCATACCAATACAAATATTTTATATGCCTGACACAACATTTGAAAATGCGGACCGAAAAACGCTTTACTTAGGGCGAGTCTAGGAGTACTTTCATATAAAGCATTTTTGCTCATAAACGTTTTTTTATGAATACTTATGTAGGAATGATTCTACTCATAAATATTTGTGCTAGAAGTGACTTTATAAGAAATAAGTGTTTCTCTAGAAAGTAGAAATCATTTTTACAACCCAACATTTTAAGTTTTTAGGTAGTCAAAAGCAGATTGTATGAAGAAAATATCTTAGTGCTTCATGAAAATGCACATAGAACACTTAGTGAACGCTTCTCCTGACAATTTTATTCAAATGTTTTTATAAACCAAAAACACTGTCACCTTAGTCTAGCTAGACTCAAAGTTGAGAAATAAGAATCCAATGTCAATCTTGTTAATTAAACGCCAAACACTTTACCTCTACTGTCAAATTAAGTGACGCAATCGATTGACATTGTCTGATCAAGATTGATTTGGATATATTATACAACAACAATCGTCTCTAAAAAAAATTCAAACCTATTCCCGTTGATAAAATATATGAAAACATAAACTAAAAAAATTGCAAATGTGATTTAATTTCACATAGAGAAACTTACAAATGATCAGAAATGGCAGGTAGGAAGATTATCCATGAACACTAAAATCTCCAGAGTAAAGAATTGAGAACAAATTAAACCAATGGATTAATGAGGAAACAAAACCATGGCAGCAGATTAGAGAATAGAGATGCGTAATGGCCGCTAGAGCTCTCTCTTGGACTTTGACTCTCTCTTACTAGGCTACAGTCCATGTCACGTGGTGCTTGATGCGCAGAGTGTTGCAGTAAACAGTTTAGGATTTTATCCTAATCCAGCTTTAGGTGGAATATGATTCAAAAAACAATAAAATTTTGGGAACTTTAATGAAAAGCTCTTGGTACTGTTTATTTTAATGAAAAATCATATTTTTACACTAAAAAGTAAACCTGATACTATTCACTTTACCCTTTATTTTGTCCTTATCGTTAAAACTTAAAGTTTTCAAATCATTTTCATTAGTTTTTCTTAAAATTTTATCACCAAAAAGAAAATTTCAAATTCACAAAGTAATTAATTAGTTAAAAAAATATTTTTGAGAATCTTAATGAAACACTCTCGGTACTGTTCCCTTTTAACGAAAATAACATTTTTACCTTGAAAAGTCACTCTTGGTACTATTCACTTATACATTTATTTTATCATTTTCATTAAAACTAAAGTTTTTTAGGACTTTTCATTAGTTTTCCTAATATTTTTGTACTTTCGATTTGCCCTTCCGAACTCCTATCTTTGAACCACCACAAGATGATCCAGTGGTTGGGACAAATTCTAGTTAGGTATGTAATCCACGAGGCATGTCTTGGGTTTAATTCCTGGTTCTGGTGAATTACACAATGGTGGCCAGTGAGAGGCTAAACTACTTCTGTGAGTTTTCTCGGCAGTGGACTGTCGTGGTGAAGCCACCTGCTATTCTCATTCTTAAAGAAAAAAAATAACTCCTACCTTTGTCCCCGATTCTCGTGATGGGCTCTTTTAATACGTATGATTGGACTAGAATGAATAACCTACTAAATTAAAGATAATTATAAAATTATGACACATAGGAATAGAATTATGAATTACACATTAAGAAAACTTATCAATTTCAAAATTTCTTTTAGAATAAAAAGATTAGAAGGGATAAATTAGGTCAGGAGATGTGGGCTGCCAGGCCAAGACACAAAAGGATGGGACCAAGTGGGGGGTGAGGGTTCTCGAAATGTAGGGGAACGAGCTTGAGTGAGATTTATTGTGTGTGAGATTGAGTCGTAAGGGTTGGTCCAGCCATGAGGAGTCAATACTTTCTTGTGCCAAGGTGAAGAAACTAAATGTGTTGGTCCAGCCATCAGGAGTCAATACTTTGTTGAGCCAAGGAGAAGGAATTAAATGATAAGGGTATACTATTGTGGTGACGTTTTATGCAAATGAAACAAATATTATGTGTAAGGTTTATTTATATGTCCAATTTCATTAGCACATGGTGTTACAACGACGTTGTACTTATGTCGTATAAATCGTTTTTCATTTTAAGATGGGAAAATTACATGATGATATGTCGACATAATTTAATAGAAGATGTGATGAATTGAATAATTGATGGTGGACATTGTTAGAACAAGGCTTGTTTTGTCTTTATTTAACTGCTTCATTAAACACGTAATGATGCCATCACCAGTCTTATACAGTTTAAACTTCGTTCATTACTATTGTAGTCAATTTTCATGATGAGGGCCAATTACATAATATCAGGGTGATCTCCTCTCCGTGATTTTGTTTAGTTGTTAAATAAATGTGGTAGTTAGGCATGATTTAGGCAAACAAATACTTTTTCGAGTTGAGTCAAGTTTATTGTAAAATAAAAGCATTGAAGGTTGCGGGTGATGGAATGTTTTTATAAGACATTTTTCTCAACTCACAGCATCCTGTATTCAAACCTCTTTTTCTTCTTTTAATGCAGTTTAAAGACTACACTTTAAATGTGAAATTTCACATCAATAGAACGCAAGGAATTTGTAGTTTAAATAATTAATAACATTTATCTTTGTACTTGAGCTATAAGTTCTTTGTGCAAAATTATTGTAATTAAAAGAACCATTTAGTTTAGGATGAAATATAAGGGCAATTTTATAATCGCGCATTGAACAAGGCTTTAGAAAGGTGGAGGTAGAGACGGTTGCTAAGAGGATGGTGGTGGACATGTATGTCAAGAGGGAACTTTCAGAATTATCGGTCGGTGGAAGAATATTTACGATAACTGTGGTGTTCAAGTTTTCTCTTCGGATGCATTAGACCCATTCTCCCGCATATCGCACAAGAATGCGTTGAGGAATTCTTCTTCCGAAGTCACAGGTCTATTTTGCCGAGTTTCTTAAGGAGACTTTTCTCGTCTACTTTCTAAAACGTAGGCCTAGAATTAGGCAAAAGTGCCCCTCTAAGATTTAACTTACTTGAATTGTGGCAAAAGCAACCTATGCCTGATAATTAAAAAAGAACAATATTTTTCCAATGGGATCATTTTGAGCCAGCATGACTCCTTTTTACTATTTTAATTGATTTTTTTTTTTTTGGTCAGAAAGAGGTCATTGAATTAAAACAGAGCAAGTACTCCAAGAAACAGAACTAAACATGGACGATGATATCCCATGTTCAAGGAGTTAATACATTTAAATTCCCAAGAAATATAGAAAATCACAATCAAGCCTCAAAAGGCACAAAAGGATGTCGCTAAGCCATCTAGAGAAAAAAAAAAACCTAATTATAAGGGGGGGCAAGGAAGCCCATCTCGAGACAGAACAAGAACCAACGAGGGAGAGGGTTGTGATGCCCATCTGTAGTTTCTCATCCTCGATAGAGCCGAAGCTGCAGCCTCATGGGCTGCTCTATTTGTCTTCCTTGAAACCCATCGCCAACTGACATCAGAGCAAGTCCACCCCTAAATACTTTGCGCCAGCATCGAGCGCATTTATTCACTCAAGTGAACAGTAATAGACCCAAGTGAACAGTAATAGGCCAAAACATCTCCATTCCTAAAAATACGCTGGCACCCAGTCAATCTAATATTATATTATTTTATTCATATCAATTAATATTTTATCATTTAATTTCTTTCTCTCTGCTTCCATTTCTTCTCCGGCAGAGCACTTTCTCTCTACCCTCTCTTTTTTCCCCTTTTTCTCCATGTTTTCTTCTTCAAATGAGCTGATGCACCTGAAATGGACCTCCTCCCCCAAAAATGGGAGCTCGCCGTGGAGGTGCTCCACACCAACGGATGGGACCTCGCCGGAGCTCCACACAAACGCCCGCAGGCACCTCGTTGTCGTCTCCTCATCGGAGCTCGCCATGGAGGTGCTCCACACCCAGGGAGTCGGATCTCGCCGTGGAGGTGTTCCACACCAACGCTCCTCAAAAAATGGACCTCCTCCTCCTCCGCATGACCCGGCTGGCGTCAGCATGAGTTAGATGTACCGGGCAACACCTCAGTCAATTTTGGACTGGGCTAGAGACCGGCTTGAGCTGGGTGCCAGTCAATTGGGTCGGGTGGAGGGGTTTCACAGGGTGCTGGGCAGTTTTTTCAGCTGGGTGCTGGGCAAAATGCCCTCCGCTGGAACTGCTCTCATTGAAAAACGACTGAAACTTCCAAATCTCAGACACAATGGAGAAAATTTTCCGCATACCACTAGCACTCTTTTTTGTTATGCAATCCACAACTTCCTTAATATCATTTTCAATGATCACATTCCTAATCCGTAACTCCTTTGCTAAAGACAACCCGCAAGAGCTGCCTCAACCTCCATTGCTTCAGGAAAAGCACGCTGCAAAGTAAACGCCTCCCCGCCAATAAGAGAGCCCAAACGACGACCCCCACAGCCTCATACAGTCTTGGCTTATTCCAACCCTCATCCATGTAACAAAATGATCATAAGGAGGGGACCATGTAGGGGGAATTACATCCTCTCTTGCAGGGAAGGTGGGTGTAACAACACAAGATTAAATTTCACCAAAAAGAGAAGAGCTTTTCTGCAAAACTCGAGCAGGGGAAGGATCCAGGCCATTGAAGAGAGCATGACATCTCTCTTACCAAATTTCTCAAACAATTATTGCTATTAGACTGAGAAAATTAGAATGGCGAGGCTTCGACAATGACAAGCTTTGTACCATACCTAAAAACCACGAATCCAAAGTTGTAACTAGTTGAGGATTAGGCTTGTAGTTTAATAGAGAGCCAAACCAAACACATATTACCCAAGGGCATAAAAGCTCGATGTGTTCGATAGAGTCCTTAAACTTCTTACAAAAGGGACAAAGAGGGTTTGAGGCAACCTTACGATGAAAAAGGGAAAGCTTTGCAGGTATGGCATTTGTTATCGCTCTCCACAGAAAATTGTTCACCTTTGGGACCGCTATGATGTTCCATATCAATTTCCAAACCTTGTTATCAATCCGATGAGATGAATGCTTCGATACTCGACTAGACGAAAAAGAGTGAGATCTCATCCAATTATAACCACTTTTTACTGAATAATTCTCATTTTTAGTCCAAGGCCAGAATCTCTTATCCTCTTTCAAATGACC